CCTTATTCCTAGTCTCTTTATAAAAAGCAAGAAATTAGGTGTAGGAAATGCGTAACATCATAATATATTACTATGTTGTACAGCTTTCAGTACTGAATGATTCATTTAAACTGGAGAAAGATGTTTAACCGGAACAAGAAGATGATTAAAATGTTATGATACTATTATAGAAATAGGAAAAATAATCTGTTTGTTATAAATCGTGGTATCAATTTTACGTCCTTAGCTTATCACCACTGTCATTAATCTTTTATAATGCACAATTAACAGCTACAAATACAATTGGTGATATATCATCTATGGAATAATTTGATTCTCTGGAAAGACTTGTAAAAGGACCATTAGAGGGCATATGAAGGAGGGATTCTGCTAAAATGGGTGCCATAATCTCCCCTCAATCTTTTACTATTTTCATATGAGGCATATTTGTTCCGTACAAGGAAGTATATGGAACAAAACAGTATCTGAATGGTGAGTTAGCAGAGTAAAAGGTTCTCTCATCAGCTTTATTAATTATTGTTAAAATTTGAAAAAATATTAATTCTGTGATATGAGGATTGGGAAAGGATGTAAGCCAATGCTTATACTAGGTTTTAGTTTTACATTCCAATTTTATTTAGTCTGAACTGGAGTATTTATTAGGTAGTATGGGATGTATGTTTGGGTTGTAAATCTAGTTGCGCAAACCTGTATCAGAGGTATTCCCACCAAGGAATACCAGGGTCCTATGCAGACGCAGGCAATAGCAAGCCACCTCTGAGTGACTTCTGCCTTGGAACACCCCCCCCCCCCCCGCCCGTAGGAGTTTTAATGATTAGACTGACTTGACACAAAAAATATACATAATTAACAAGATGACAGGTTATGCAATACGTATGTGGTCCTGACACAGTGATAAAAGTATCTGCTTTGCATGTAGAAGTTCTCAGGTTTAATCTCTGGTACCCTCATTTTTAAAAAGGGCAGGTAGTAGATGATATGAAATACCTTTGCCTGAGACTCTGGAGAGCCTGTACAGACCTTGATCAACCAGTGTTCTGACTCAGTGTAGGGCAAAAAAAAAAATGTGTTCACCTTTGGGAAAAAAAGTTTTATTTTGTTAGTTGAAAGGAGCGATCAGTGAGGATGGTGTCTACTAGTAGTGAATTTATCACAGTTACACAACTGTTTATTATCTCCTATTAGAAATAAAATAAGAGGTCCTTCCAGTATCGGAATGGTCTAAAGGGATTTGGACTTGAATCCAGATTAATTTTACACAAAGATTTTCTGGACTGTGAACAAATTTATTGAACAATATAATTCATGGTATGTATTGGAAAAATATGTGTTCAGGATAATGTTCATTTTTCTGCGTCTTTATAATGGTGTAATTTTTCTTTTGTATAAAAATTAGTTGAAATGTGTGGCGTATACATAGGAATTTAATGGAATGCCATTAAAATACATAGAACAAGTGATTCTGCAGATATGCTTCTGTACTGGCATTTGCACACGTCTGCACTGTTTGCAAAGCCTTGATCCAATGGCTGCATTTTCGATCTCCTTCAGTTTCTTTCATATGGGGATAATGATACATAGTCATGTATCTTAAGTGTGTTTGAAGATCCAGAACAATGTTCCCTCTAAGCTGTGGAGTCTTGTGAGCAATGATTCTATCTTGTGAGCTACTGGCATTAAAGTTGTGAGCAGGTGATTTGGCCTCTGCATAAATTAGTTTGTTCTGGAACCATCCTTCATGAGCTAAGGCAAAAATGTGTGAGCCGGAGGCTTAAAAACTGTGAGCTAGCTCACACTAACTCATCTTAGTGGGAACACTGGTCCAGAATCAAAGCTCTGCACAATATTTTAGTTATTTAATTAACCATTTCATTTCATTTTATTTATTCAATTTATACCCCGCCCTATCCTACACGTGGGTTCAGGGTGGTTTACAACATGGAATAAATCTATAAAACAGTAAAAGCAATAAAACAATCGGCACAATAAACAATATCTTCAAGCCCCATGCCTCATATCAGATGAGTATAGGTGCTCCAGTGTCTAATCATATTATCTGTCAGCAGGCACTGGGAGAGGGGCCATAAACAATTGATAATTCACAGATATATATAAAGCATCCAGTCCTCAAGGAGTACTATATTGTAGAATGTTTTAGAGTGTCTAGGTAGCACAGTATGAAAGCAAAAGGAAACATTTTTGCCATCTTTTAATTTGTCCGCTATTTCTTTCAATTAACAACAGTGTGAGTGAAACCATTGACTGGGTGCATGAGAACAAAATATTCAGTCAAGTTGCAAAAGTGCTTTTTTTTTCTGGAGTCTGCAGTTTGCCATTTAATTTGTAACATCAACATTGCAAAGTTGAGTACGGTAATTTAATTTCAAAAGAGGACTGCTTGAAGCCAGCATCTGACCAAGTTAATGGGAGCCATATGGTCAGTGATCCCCCCACAAGTAAGCTTCAGAAGAAATAAACTCCCAAAACCTTTGTTAGGAAGCAGGGTTGCCAGGTCCCCTCGGTTTTGCATTGGGGAGATTTGGGGGGCATTCTGGGGGTGGGTAAGACATCGCGTGCGATGTCCCTATTTGTGGATGGGGTTTCTCTTCACCAGACAGCTGGCTGGTGGCAGATCAAAGCCCCCAAAAGCGGGGGAAACCCCAGTGGGACCTGGGGGCTGGTAACCCTATTAGGAAGAGAAACTACAATTTTTAAAAACTGTTCATCTTTACAAAAGACTTGAGCAAATATTGTTTTTATGGTACTAAAGGTGGGTGTGTTGCTTGAATATCTAAGAAGTTGTTAACTATAATTGCATAGTATTTGTAATTTCCTGATCTCCAAGAGATGTAAAACCTAGGAAGTTAGTGCCTATGTAGGTGAGAGAAAGAGAAGCTTTGAGTTTCACCAGTGTGTAGATGAGGAGTCACAAAGGGTCTCTGGTAGACAGTTCTTAGACTTCTCTAAAGTGACTACAGAATTAACTTTGGCAGCAGTGAAGATAAGTTCTTTTCCCATCGTAATAAACAAACTATTTACCTGAAGGATGATGCCCCTGAATGTTGATGATCCCCTAAAACAAGGTTATGCACAAGCTTTTTAAAATTACTGTTCGTGGCTGTAACTTGTATGCGAATTGAAGATGGATTCCTCTCTTTTTTTTCTTGATTGCACATGTGGACAAAAAAATCTAGTATTTCTGTCTGATAAACAGAGTAACTTTGAGTAAGTAAAATACAGTGACCTATGGTAGGCTTTGGGCTGGCAGGAACAATTGGGTTCAAGTAAATGGGTCTTTAAAACCAGTGTAAGTGTTCACAGCAGAAATTTCAAGATAACTTCCGGGTATGCAGAAGCATTCAGAAACAATTTGTATGCTTGGGAGGGGGGCCCTTGGCTTAGTTGTAGAGTATCTGCTTGACATGCAGACAGTCTCAAATTCAATCCCTGGCATCTTCAGTTCAAAACAAAACAAAACACCACCATATTGTAGGTGATGTGAAAGGCCTTCTCCACTTGAAGCTCTGGAGAGCCACTGGTGGTTTGAGTAGCGTAACAGTACTGACCTTGACAAATCACCTGATTCAGTACAAGGCAGCTTCATATGTGGTCATGCTACAAGTAAATACTTTAAAAAAAAATGTATAATCTGCCACACTGTTAAGGGCCATGGCTGCAATCAATGTTCCCTCTAAGCTGTGGAGTCTTGTGAGCAAAAATGCTACTTTGTGAGCTCCTGGCATTAAAGTTGTGAGCGAGCGATTTAGTTGCTGCATAAATTAGTTTGCTCTGGAGCCATCCTTCCTGAGCTAAGGCAAAAAATGTGTGTGCCAGAGGCTAAGAAACTGTGAGCTAGCTCACACTAACTCAGCTTAGTGGGAACACTGGCTGCAATCCAATAAATATGCCACATCTATATTTGTTTATCTTTAATTTTCAGGTGGATTCCTTTATTTTATTTTTTTTGCTGCAACAGATTAACATTGGGAACCCCTCTGGAATCCAGCACAGAGTTAAGTGCAAATAAATCCACAGAAATCAATGGGCTTTCATATGTCCAATTCAGTATTGCATTGTGGATTGTATGGTTATGTTCCTCTAGCAAAAAGATCAATCCTGCTGGTTAGCTGTTGGGAGATGGAGGTGCAGGTCCTGCCACCTCCTGGAAACCCGTAGTAAGGGAGTGTTTAGATTTTTTCCCCAAAAGGGCTTCATGTACATTGTGCTAGCTGTTGGATTTTGCCCCTAGCTGGGTATTTTGCATGTGGCAGCCTGCTTCTGTGTGTGTGCACTTAGTTGGATTGGGGCAAGCATGTGTTGGTGTTGTGTTGAAATCCAAGCAGTTCTTGATATTATGCTTTAAAGTGTGCCAGAGCTGGCTTGAAGCTCCTAATCCCACCCACCCTGAACCAGAATTACAAATTCATAATCAGCATGTAGGTAACCTAAGCACTTGTTAATAGTGACTGCTCAAATAGAAGAGCCTATTAAATATTTAGTAAAGCAATTGATTGTGCCAAAGAAGTGAAATAATTCAGCTGATCTCTTTCAAAATCAAGACCACTTTCTCCTTCCTGCCATCTACATTTATATTAGTCATGTATGTATACAGCTTCTCTTTGTCACATGTGAGATTTTTATTAGGGATTTTTTTTTTCCTGGCAAGCAGTTGTTCGTGCTATGATTTATCTAGACATCCCCTCTTTGTTTCCCTTGCTCCTTTATACTCTAAACCACACATTAAAATAGGGCTTCTGAGCTATGTATGCATCATAATTTTAAACAGAACATTAAAATCCAGTCCATTATGTTATCCTAAGAGCTATACTTCAGAACAAAGAGACAAGGTTTTGGGTCAATATGTTGTAAGTAAGAATTGCATTGTAAAGATTTTATTGCAGAACTATGATGGAAGTATCACTCTGTCTGCATATAGTCATCTTGACTGATAGATAACGTTAAGTAACACAGTTGGCTGAAAGTCCGTTATCTCTCTGCAGGTGATGTATCACCCATCAGTATGTCTCCCATCAGTCAATCACAGTTTATCCCACTTGGGGAAATCCTTTGCTTGGCCATCTCTGCAATGAACTCAGCACGAAAACAAGTCACGCAAGAAGCACTAATGGAACACCTAACAACCTGCTTCCCAGGTAATTGTATGCTAATGTCGCCCTGCTCGTGTTGACCTAGATATTTTTAAAGTCATTTTCAGCAACTCTTACGAAAAGTTTGAGAAGCTAGCTCAACATTATACGGGGGCAGGAGCAATGCAACAGGATAGGAGAGTGAATTTGGGATGGGGGTGGTATGTCATTCCTCTGTGTGTGTTGGGGGGGAGGGGGAACGATTCAGAATGTGATTTTTCTTCCACTATTCTTTAACTGCTTCAAAGGCTTATTATAAAACTTGGACATTTAAAATGTTTTGCATTCTGAAAATACGTATCTCTTGCCGCCTACCAGGAGGCAGTTTTGCATCATTCTGGAACTCCAAAATACCCATTCCATCTGGACTTTCCTTCCTTCCTTGTGTTAAGGGTTTTCCTCTTAAGTCGTTACAATGAATGGGACTGTGAATTTTAAAATGTCGGAAACCTCCCCCCCCCCAAATAAGAACTGAAAAAATGTTGAGGCTGAAAAGCAGATATGCAGTTTGAGCCTGTGCATATTTACTCAGAAGTAAATTACACCAAGGTTTTTAATGGGGCTTATTGTATGTGACTGCATAGGATTGGAAGAGCTTGTAGAAAGGATAGGAAAATGCCCCCCCCCCAATTTTCCCAGTGAAAGGGATACAAACTTTGAGAAAAATTAAGAAACTAAAATTCTGATGAGATACATGTTCTTTTAGAATTGTGAGCAATAACAATGTAAACCATTAGTAAATTACCATTCCTATACACTGTAGACATAACTGTCAAGGCCTCTCACCTGCTTCAGATTCTTTCATCTCCGGAAGCACGTGAAAGAAACTGGTCTGTATTTGGACATATATAACCAATTAATGGCCAAACTAATCTGGGAGGATGTAGGGAAGCTTGTTCCAGTCCTTTGAAATCTTCAGTTCTTTGAACAAGATGTAATTGAAAGTTCTGAATCAGAAGCTATTGGTCTTTTAGGATGTGATTAAGGATTAGAAAAAAGAAATTTGATCAGAGAGGGAAATTTTAGAAGAGTAGTATTTTCAAACATATGCTATTGATTGTTTAAATGACATGATGTGAGTTCATATGGCTAGTTTTGTTCACAGCTGCCATTGCACTTACTGTGCACACTGAATGTACACCACTGAACAGTTTGGTGTTATTTTAAATGTTAACTCAATATATAGACCTGTTGGTAATCCATGATACTGGAATGTGTTAGGACAGAAGAAAATACTAGTTCTTTTTCTGAGAGAGTTGGAAGCATTTTTAAAGAGGACCATGGATGTATTTATTCATTCCACTGTTGCCTCTGATTTGGTATTGTCTCGTCTGTTTCTTCTTCTTTTTTGAGTATTTGTGTGTGTCTGTATGTGTGCATGCCTGGAAGTCAGATGGTTGACTTTTGGCAATCCCTAGTGGGACTTGGACGTTTCAGAGAGGTGGCTTACCAAGGGTCATTTCGTGGAAAAAGAGGTGCAGGAGCTCATTAGCATAACTCATTAGCATAACTCATTTGCATATGCCACACACCCCTGACATCACTGGAAGTGTGTCAAAAGGCAACACCCACCGCTCAGGCTCCACTGGACTGTTTCGGATTGCTAGCTATTGGGGGGAGGGGTGAACGTGCAGATCTGTCCTCGCAGAGGAGGGAGAGCTTGTACCTGAATAAAACTTGGTCTTAAAGGTGCCACTGGATTGTTTTGGACTGGAAGGGGGGCTCTGCAATTTACCTGGCTGCTTCTTGCTCTGACTGAGGGCTGCTGGGTGGGTCTTGTCGCATATGCCCGCCCCCTGGGCTCTTTACTGCCAGAGCTCCGCTTCTGTGCGCTCCTGCAGGAAATGACCCCTGTGGCTTACTATTGCCTGCCTCTGTGTCCCAGCCCTAGTATTCCCTTGAGGTCCTGCTTAGCTTCTGAGATCTGACAAGATCAGGCTTGCCTGGGCTATCTAGGTCAGGGCTCTTTCTTTTGTTTCTTGATAATGCTATATAGAAAAAAAATTGTTTCTAAATTCATAGTCCCCTGACCATTTATTTTCACTGCAATGTTACTAGTTTTCATTTTCATCTCCTTTCCCCCACTGTGTTCCAACTGACAAAGACTAAGGTATGCTTGGGGTATCTTCTGCACATATGTGCTTAGATAGACAATGTGGATTCTTGTTGTCACACTTTCTTACCAGTAGCTTTATTTATTAGGGTTTGCCAGTGTTCTGCAAAGACTGTGAAATTAATGATCCATGTTGGAGAAAATCTAGCACTGATGTCAGATTTTCCTGCAAATTGAACAGATTATAACAGGAACGTTTTCTAGTGTGTCCTTTGTTAAAATATACACTACCAAACTGCTTCATCTGCTCTCAGCCTGCAAAGAGAACTTTGCTCCTCACATGAGTTTTTGAGTGACACTTGAACCTTGCTGGACTCTGGGTTTTTTAAATCCAAAAAAGGTGACTCTCCACTGTTCGCATCTTCCCAAAATGCAAGTGCTGTTGTCTAACACCTACAGCAATTAAACTGCAAGCCTGGTAGCATGTAACACCAATGGCTGACAAAGCAGGGTCTTAAGATCTTGACCTGGAAAATCTGCTTGCTTCCATCCTTAATTTAAAAAAAAATATTTATAGCATCTAGTCTGACAAAGGCCCATTATGCACACACATCTTTTCAGAGCATTCCAACTTCTGATTCTATGCCCACCTTACGCACCATTCTTTTTCCTTCAGTGTATTTATTCTTCAGCTACTATACTAAAAATGTACTTTTTAAAATCATGGTGGAACATCACTTGTGCCGTGTGGGGGGTGATGTCCAAAGTATTTTTAAAAACTACACAGTTGCCCTATCACAGCTGCGGAGTAGTGTCCAGCAAGCACCTTCCACTTAAATTCTCATGGTTCAGGTTTTGTGCATGCATTTTAACGTTAGTTTGTTGAATAAGGAACAGAAAGGAACACAGGCAAAGGGGGGAAAACCACTATTGAGACTGACCAGACTTTTTCTGAAACTGCCAAACAGCTGTGAAGCCCCTTTTCCATATTGCCAAGTACTAGAGGGTTCTGTGCTGAGTTATTGGCCACTGTAAAAGAGTCACAGGATCTCATAATATGAGGAAATATGTTGAGTGTACAGAATGCATGGTAGAACCTACTGACACTGGCATTGCCACCTGTGATCATTGGCAACGTGTATGTGTGTGTATGCACACACCTGTGCAAAGTTGGCTGGAACTCTACCACACTTTGCACAGGGCTGCAATTTGTATGAGGGAGGAGTCCTCTGGAGAGCTTTTTTAGTCGTGCCACTAAATTGAAAAAGGGGGGGGGGATTTTTGCCGATGCCCTAGTGCGACTGCATAGTAAGAATAATTTCCTACCCTTCCTTGCAAATTTGCATTGTTTTCTCTGCGATTCTCTAATTTGATCCTGCACACTGGTCATGATCTTGGCAGTTTTTTTTAAGCCTGTCCTGTGCGGGTTGTACTCTTCCTCCAAATGGATCGACCCCAAGAGATTCTTAAATTTGGCGGTTCATGGAAGGTCCATGCAGCTCAGCTGCCATTTTAATGTTAGGCTTCCAGAGACTGCCAAAATGCCCCCCCACACACACAACTTTGTTCACTAAAGCATGAAAGGGAAAAATGTTTTCAAAGCTTTAGGCTTCCCATCCCAGTGTCTCTCTCTCTCTTTATATCTCATGTCAATTTCATTCTGCCCTGACAATCCCTCCCTTTATTTTGTTTGTATGCAGCACTGAAATCCTCCCCGCCCCCACTGCTATTTGCCTCCTCTCCGAACCCCCTTTCAAGTCAATAACAGCAAGGAACTAAACCTCGTGCAGCTCCTTTTAAACTCCCCCCATCATTTAAATTTTTTTAATTCTGCAATCTGAGTCTGATATTGCTAGACTCATGCGGCTTGTCAAAAAATATTAAAATTTTAAAACGAGGCGAAAATGGAGCTTGTACACCAGTGAAGGGAGGAGGATGGTGGAAGGTGCAGAGTGGGTGGAATGACCTGAATGTGGGTAGGGAGTGACCCTTGAGGGGTGGCAAAAGGGCAGGGGGGAATCTGAGGGAATCTGTAAACTTTTGAATTACCTTTGGCTCTGAAATGAAAAAAGGGGGAAATCAGCACAAAAGCACTCTCAGAAAACCCAGGGAAACAGTGACCAGAAAGCGAACCGAGCGCTGAAGTGATGAAAATCAATGCAGAATGACAAAGAAAACCCAACAGACATGCACGGTGAAAGCGAGGGGAAACACCTGTTCATAATAGGCCATAGAGTTGATAACTGAACATCTATCCTGATAAGCTCAAAAGCTTGTTCTGCATTTTGTGTGAGCTGAGTTGGCTCTTTATAACTTTTTTCAGAAGAATGAAACATTGAAGAAAGAAATCCATGTAGTTTAGTAGTAACTTCCACTGTGCACTTGAAATTAGAGTATTTCGATGTAGAGTTTGGATTTATACTTGTAGAAATTGACTAGTAGGAGATGTTGCCCCTTCTTGCAAAAGTACACCTCCGTAAGAGAACAGAACAAGCTGGCGTATTCTGTTTGCAGCAGGCCTAAAGACAAATTAAGGTACAGTTCTCTTAGTCACTCAACGTTGGATCGAGTCTGAGAATTAAAAAAATGAGTGGTAAACTTCCACTGTTTTCCTCTTTTTGAATATTTCTGCAGCGGGTTGCCCTTACTACCATGTAGCTAATCTATTTGCAAAAATGTTAGTTCATGCCAAGTTCATCATTGCAAAACATGTACTTCCATTATACAATTATGTTTTTATTGTGAAATATTATTTTACCCCTTGTTTCAGCCAAAGATTGGCTTCCAAAGCCATTTACAACAAAGTGCTTTGGGGGAGGAGTTCGCGGGAAGGGCTTGGTCCAGGTACCTCTTCTCCTTGCTTCTCCACATTCAGGTACCTCTTCTCCTTGCTGATGGCATTTGGGTTCTGCAATGGAATATGTTTCGACTGACCATTCCTCAATTCAGCTTG